TCTGTGCACTGGCTAGGATCTCTAGAATAATGTTGAATAGGAGTAGAGACAATGGGATGAAAATTTTTGTTTATGTTCAACCTAAGAGGGAAAGTTTTCTTTTCATGTTTCACCGTTAAATACAATGCTTCCTAAAAGTTTTCTGTAGAAATCCTGTAATAAATTAAGGAGTTTTGCCCTGGCCAGTGTGGTTCAGGGGTTGAGCATAGACCTAGGAACCAGGAGGTTCGATTCCTGGTCAGGGCACATGCAGGCTCAATCCCCAGTGTGGGGCATGCAGGGGGCAGCCATTCAATGATTCTTTCTCATCATTGATGTTTCTATCTCTCTCTCCCTCTCCCTTCCTCTCTGAAATCAATAAAAATATATTTTTTAAAAAATTAAGGAATCTCCTTGTCCAATTTGCTAAGATGATGAATTTTTATCATATACTTTATTGCTGTAGTGAGATAATATGATGAATTTTTTATATTTTATTGAATGTTAAAACCTCTTTGCATTCTTGGAAAATCCTAAACAACATATATATTTATATAATCTGGATTTGGTTGCTAATATTTTGTTTATGATTTTTATGGCTATGTTATGAGTGAGATTAACCTATAATTTTCCTTTCTTATAATGCTCTTTTCAGGGCTTGGGAGCCTCATAAAGAAGTTACAAAGTGTGCCCTCCTTTCCCATTCTTTGGAAGACATTGTGCTAGACTGGGTTATTATTTCCTTTATGTTTGCTAGAATTCACTAGCAAAACATTTGGTCTGATGTTTTCTTTGTAGGAAGGGCTGAAATTATGGATTCAACTTTAAACAAAATAATTATAGGATCATTTGTATTTTCTATTTCTTCTTGTATTAGTTTTGGGAAATTATATAGAATTTGCCCATTTCACATAATTTTTCACGTTTATGGGCATAATATTCTTGGGATCCTCTAGTGTTTTAAGATACTAAAACAATTTCACTGACTTAAACAGGAATTCACTTACTACTTAAAATATTTTTATCATTGAGTGTATCCTCATAAAGAATATTCTAATAGATGCATATCTATTTTAAAAGTAATTAAACAAAGATCTACGTATGTGGATATCTACTTATCAAGATTGAATAATAGATATTACTGCCATGTTAGAAGTCCTCGTGTGTGCCTTCCTGGTTGAAATCTCTCTCCCACATTTATGTTAATTACTAGAGGCCCGGTGCACGAAATTTGTGCATGGGTACATTCTCTAGGCCTGGCTGGCGATCGAAGTGCGAGTGTCTGGTGTGGAAGGGCAGGTCCCAGCTGACCTCTGAGCCCTGGACAGCACCTGGGCCCCAGGGCCCCCACGCGCCCCCGTCCGCCTGAGTCACAGCACCCGAGTCCCCACGCAGAGATGCGGTGAGCGCAGCCAGACGCCATGGGCCGGGGCGCCGTGTGGGCCACTGGGCCACCCAGCGGCGCTGCATGGAAGCTGGGTGGGCAGCATGCTCTCTCCCTGCTGGCTTCGCAAACCAGCTCCTGTGCAAACCCACAGGGAACCCGACTGGCCCCTGCGGTCCCAGTGGCTGTGGCCCGGCTTACCTGGAAAAGGCCATGTGGGTGTGGGGTGGGCTCCTCACGGGTGCCTGCCACCTGAGCCCGGGGGTTGGGGTGGGGGGTAGGAGGGCGCTTCCCTCGTGTGCTAGCCCTGGCATCCCGATGGAGGGTAGCAGGGGGCAGTGAGAGCGAGCTCAGTGGACACCCGCATTCTCACCGCATCTCCGTCCCTGTCAGCCCCGTCCCAGGTAGCTGCTGAGAGGTCGTAGAGTGTCGCTGATGCCTGCCATGTTCCATGCCCCTGCCCTGATGATCAGCACATGTCATAGCGAGCGATCGAACTCCCGGTCTCCTGGTCGAACTCCCATTGGGGGGACAATTTGCATATTAGGCTTTTATTTATAGGATTCCCTTGCTCTTCTCTATCGTTCTTCCATCTCCTGTGTGTATTCCTAAGCAACATAAAATTTGGAAAAACTGAGTAGCAAGCCCAAGCCTAGTTTGTAGGGGAAGGATAATGTTACCTCTGTTTAATAAAAGCTCTCAAAAGATAAACAGTCTCGGGTCACACAGTCTGAGGTTGGGTTCCCCCGAGACTGCACAGGGACCCCCTTCTGGGAGAGCCAGGGGCAAGGTTATAAATGAATCCTGTGGCATCTGCCAGGGCTAGTTGCTGAATGAGCAGCTAGGCTGGGGGAGTGGCCTGCTTTTTATTTTTGATTCAAAGCTCACCATGACCTTGCTGTTGCTCTCAAAAGTAGGTCAGAGCCGAACACTTCTGTGGACATGGAGGGGTAGGGAGAGCAGGCACTTCATCAGCATGCCATGAGATGAACACAGATGAGAGCCCTGGGCATTGTGTCCTCATGTGAGGAAGATGGTGCAATAGCAGGAAGCACCTCAGGGTGACTGTTCTCAGTACAAGTGTCGCTTGAGCCACTCTGCTCCGTCTGGGCTGGCCGTGCTGTGTCTGGGATCTCCCTTCCCTCTCCTGGAGGCTGTCTTTGTCTCTCTCCTCTGTTGGATCTCTTGCTTCCTGTCTTCTCGCGTTTTCTTCTTTCTTGATTATTGTTTTTATATTGTTGCCCATCACAAGTTTTTAGGGCTTGTGTAGGAATGAAAATGTCTTTATTAGGTCCTCACTTGGATTGACAATAACTGTGCTATTGACTTCTTGCTTCCACTCTTACTGGGGAGAAGTCAGAAGCCATTCTGATTCTTCATCCTTTGTCCTGAACTGTTTGTTTTTCCTCTTTGAAAGCTTATGGAATCTCTTTTCTTGGTGTCCTAAAATTCACGATCACCTTGCTTGGTATGGGTGTGTTTTCACCCATTGTGCTGGGCCTAAACAGGCTCTTTTAATCAGACAACTTATGTCCTTCAGTTCTGCAAAATGTACGTGAATTATTTCTTTGATACTCTCCTTCCTCTCCCTACCCCCATTGCTGTGATTCTTTTGTTTGGCCGTCAGAACTTGTGGACTAGTTCTGTAATATTATTGTTTCTTATTTTCTACCCCCTCTTTTCTTTTTCTCTTTACTTTTTCAGAGATTATCTCAACTTTATTTTTCAATCCTGTTATTAAGACCATTTGGGGGATTGTTATTTGGATTTTTGTTAATCCTCATCCGAGGATATTTTTTTCCATTGATTTTTAGAGAGAACGGAAGGGAGGGGAAGAGAAAGAGAGAGAGAAACATCAATGTGAGAGAGACATATCTATTGGTTGCCTCCAGCACATGTCCCCCCCAGGGCCAGGGATCGAACCTGTAAGAATGAAGTACGTGCCTTTGACTGGAATCAAACCCTGGCTAACGCTATAACCACTGAGAAAAACTGGCCAGGGCTGGATGTTTTTCTTTATACAGTTGTATCCTCTTCTTGTTTCAAAGGTGCAATATATATTTTTTTGCGCTAAGGATATTAATGATAGAGACTAAGACAAACAGAAAAAAACAATTTAGAGGAAATAGATTACACAGGGAGGGAAGAAACTTTCAAAACTGCTCTTATTCTTGTCTGGTATTTCTTCTGGGACCTGTCTGATTCCTCAGGGAAGGGTCTTCTCACCTGCTTGGATGGTGAAGGTCTGCGGTAAGACCTGGGGTCTCAGAATACGGTATGCATGTGGTCACTGAATCCTTCTGTTTTAGGTAAGCTGTTTTTTCAGCAACTCTCTGTTTCAACCCTCTTCAAAAATGAAACCTTCAGCCCTGGCTGGGTAGCTCATTTGGTTGGAGCATTGTCCCGATATACCAAGGTTGCGAATGAATGCATAAATAAGTGGAACAACAAATTGTTGTTCCACTTACTCTCTCTCTCTCTCTCTCTCTCTCTCTCTCTCTCTCTCTCAATAAATTAAAAATGAAACCTTTAAACTTTTTCAGGGATGGGAGAGGAGTACATAATTGCTCACCTCATGAAGTTGAGGAGGGGACCGAGGGAGCCACCTGCTTTCAACAGTTATCTCTGAGTCTCCTTATTAAGCCTCTTCAAGCCTCGCTGCCTGTCTCTGAGTCTTTTGTGGACTGTGTGGTGTAATAGAGGTTGGGTTTGAGCTTTCCCATGCCAATTGGGATTTAGCTTTCTAGGGTCTGCTAAGTCAGTTTCTACTTGTCCGTAGGTTTTTCAGCATCAAAATTCTGTTGCTGGTGTCTCTGCTTCTTCCCTTTTCCCCCTGGTCTTTGTGGGTGATGATAAACAAAAACATCTTCCCTGTATTTTTTGTGGTTTTGGTGGGGAACCAAAATTAGATGCAATTTTTTTTCATTTTTCCTTTTATCTCAGATGTGTATGTTCCTTTTACATAAATTCATTTGTTTTGATAGATGTTTGCATTTTTTCCAGCTTTGAGATACTTGATATATAAAGTAGTTAGCATTTAGATTAAGGTAGATTTGCCTTAAAATTGGATTTTGGTGAATTTGTGAATTTTGTGCACAAATTTGTTATTGTTGATAAACAGATTTAGGTATGTTTTTCATATATAGCAGCTTGGTGTGCCCTGAAGTAACTTAGTAAGAATATGTCTAGATGAAAGAAATTGAATTATAATTGCTTACAATACATTTTAGCAACAGTTTTCTCTCATTCTCTCAAAACTCTTTAGTGTTTTGTCACTGGGTCATTTTTCCATTTTGTCATAATTTACTTATTCTTATACGTACTGTAAATTTTTGTAATATTTGAAAGTACAACAATAATTTTTGAACCTCCAACTTCTGAAAAATTAGTGTGGCTTTGAAAAAAACAGATGTTTCTTTGTTATTGCAAAGAAAACTATGTTTTAGGGGGGAAATCTGAATCTCAAAGTCATAATAGTTTAGAGCTAGAAGAGAACTTACACCTGATTTCTGTTTTCTCCGAACCTATGCCTGAGCAGAGTGACACGTGGAAGAGTAAATAGTGCGGCTGAAACTCACTCAGCGGGTTGGTGACTCAGTTCAAGGCTCCCCTGGTTGGTAGGTGCCCTTGCTATCAGTTGTGACAAAAGAAAATTCAATCTAAAGCCAGTAGGGGGAGCTCTTTTTCTCTTTTATGCTTTCCCAAGAACTGCACATTTATGTTCTCTGTGTTGTCAGAGCTTGAATCCTGGTTCATCCACTTTCTAGATGTGCCATTTCGTGCAGGTTCCTTAACACCTCTGAACTTCAGTTTTCTCATCAGTAAAAAGGGGACGATGATGATGACAGTAACCGCTTCATAGGGTCACTGTGAGAACTGAGTGAGTTGAAGTATATAAAATGCTTAGAACTGTGTCTGGCTCTATTATTTACTGTTATTGCCATTATCCCTGCAGCGGGGAGGTTAGGGGCTGCCTTTCCCACCAGCATGTGCATCCTTGCCTGTTTAAGGCAACTGTGAAGGTTGCTGGGGCTCCTCACAGTAAAAGAAATCAGTGGGATGGGGTTATTTGAGGAGGAGATAGTGAATAATCATAAGTAGGGATTTTATAATTAGCTCTTTGGGAAAGGATGGCTCACTTTTCTTCAATAACATACAAGGAGATTGCTGCTCCTTTCTGTGTTTCTTTTGAGATGATGATATGTAAACATGTTTTTCAGACACTTGTTATATATTATAGTAGGCAACTGCCTATATGTGCACAGGGCAATAGGAGCAAAGGTAAGAACTAGCCAAATCCTCCTTGAAGCACCTGGAGGCATTTCAAAGAAGAACTAGGGTTAGAAGAATGATTGAAATGTGCCGTGGGGACGAGGGTAGGAGGGCTGGAGAGACCTTCCAGGCCGAGATAACGGTGCAGAGGCTGTGAGAGGGTCGGGTGTCTCAGGTACTTATCTAGCATTGTTGGATATAACTTTGGAGGCCTGAGGGAAGTGGAAGAAGTTGAGGCTGGAGTTTATATTGTGTCTTGTAGCACCATTACTGAGCGCAAGAGTGGCACAATTGGATTTGCATGTTTCACTGGTCATTTTGGCAGCAGGCTGGAGGGTGAGTGGATGTGAGGAGTATCGGGAAGAGGCTGATGCAGTAAATTAGTAGAATCGATGGGCCCTGGGCCAAGGAGCTCTGGAAGTGGAGAGAAGGCAAAGAGGTATTTAGGAGGGAGATTGGATTGGACTGGGAGGGAGGTGTGGGAAGAGGAGGAATCTGAGAGCTGAGGGCTTGGAGAAGGTGTGGGAGGGACCAGTAAGTGCTTGCAGCTGAACTCCTTGCTCAGGGGACCCACACAGGCCTGCTAGGGAAGAACGAGCCATTGGAGTAGGAGAGCCACGAAGGAGAGCAGCGCCCAGGAAGCTGCTGGAGGACAGAGGAGAGTTTCAGAGGTGCAGATTTTTCGTCTAAAGAGCAATTATCCAGAACTATATAATTATAGATGCACATGTGCGTGCATCTATAATTACCATAGAGAAGTCAAATAGGAAAAGAATTGTAAAGGGCATTGGATTTTTGCCATTTTAAAACGACGTGAGAGGAATTTCTGTTTAGTCAAGTGATGGAGACAGAAGCCACATAACACTCGGTTTCCATAGCAAGGGAGTGCTATTCTTTCCCAAGGTGTTTGGCGGTGAGATGGGATGAGGACTAGGCTTGTTCTGCCTTCCTTGTATAGAGACTTTTCGACCCCCACCCCACCTTTGGTTAGAACCGATGAACCTTTTCTCCCTCTGAACCCCACCATTTCCTATCCTGACTCTATAAGAGCACACATAATATTTTATTATATTTGCTTCCTTTTTTATTGTAATTTTTCTCTTTATACCATTAGACATAGATCTTCTGGGGGGATGGACTAAGTCATCCATCTTTTTATTTTTAGTATCTATTACAGTAGACACTGGCATCATAGTCAGGCTCATGGAATGTTGGATGGATGGATGGATAGCTGGATGGCTGGATAAACTGAGGTTGGCTCAAAGTTACTGTGTGTGCGCACATGTGAAGCAGGTGACTTGGCGATGAGAGCAAGAGAGAGGCTAGACCAGGCTCGGCGCTTGGGAACAACGGTACGTGTTTGGAATTAGCACTTCGGTAAACGGGAAAGGGACTGATGAGGAAGGAGCAGCCTCAGGATTGCTGAGATTGGAACTTTGTGGACAGTGAATGTGCATTGATTTTGTGAAGTTACAATATCGTAGACTTTTGGAGCTAGAGGGAACCTCAGAATGAATCCAGTGTAACCCGCCTATTGAACACAGGACTCTGGGTATGTGCACTGCCTTCCTAGCTAGATTGAGAGCCATGTGAGAGTCTGGCCATTGGCAAGTACACATTTATTCATTGATAATGTTAATACACACTTACCTCTACACGAGGGTGGAGTGAGTAGAGAAAATTAGGTTGCATCATTCTAGTTTGAAAGTCTGAAAAATTATTAGAAAATTTATGTATCAGGCAGCAGGAGCATAGCAAAGGCAGATGATTCAGCTGTGTTGTCTTTATAGAGTATCTCTTTAACAGAATTGTAAAATTTACTTATCCAATTCCAGATATGCATCTGACTCTGTCTCCCTCCCCACATTGCAGGAGGTTTTTTCCTACTTGCTCCTTGGCATTTTTGTCATCATTTTTACTTTCAATGGATTATATACCTTTGAGCAATAATGTAATGTCACTTTTTTTCTGGTGAGTGCATGAACAAGTAGGTGTTTGTAATGAACTCTGTATAGAAATATATTTTGACTAGAGGCCCGGTGCACAAAATTTGTGCACTGGTGGGGGGGGGGGGGCGGGTGGTTGTCCCTCAGCCCAGCCTGCACCCTCTCCAATCTGGGACCCCTCGGGGCATGTCCGACTGCCAGTTTAAACTGGCAGTCAGACATCCCTCTCACAATCCAGGACTCCTGGCTCCCAACCGCTTGCCAGCCTGCCTGCCAGCCTGATCACCCCCTAACCACTCCCCTGCCAGCCTGATCAATACCTAACTGCTCCCATGCCGGCCCGATTGCCCCCAACTGCCCTCCCCTGCAGGCCTGGTCACCCCCACTACTCTCCCTCGCTGGCTGATCACC